CCCCCCCCCCCCCCTCTCCCTCGCCCCCACCCTGGTTTTCGGCTCTCGTTGTGTTTCTTTAGTCGAGCTCTACATACGACCCGTTGTTCTGGCCGACGCACCCGACCATGGGGCGCCTATACCAGTTTCCGGTGCTGACCGGATCAATTGACGACTTTTGTTGGACGGACGCGGACATCAATGTCACCTTCGCCGACGGCACCACCGTCTCGGAGATCACCAGCGTCTACTCCGACCACTGCGTCGGACATCACGGTAGCGACGTGTTCCCCTACTTTCTGCTTGACACCGACACTGACGGCTTCGAGGTGTGTGTGTGTGCGGAAGGAAGAACTACGACGACACTTCATAAGGGGAGTTCAACCAGTGGCCGTTGTTTACGGCTTTTCACCACTGCGGAACATCTGGAGCTGTTTGTTGTGGTGGAATGCTCTGAACTTATATTCGCAGTGCTCTCTAGAAGGTACCTCGAGCAGAGATTGAAATGATGTGAAGTTTAACCACGATGACGACGACGTTCGTTCGTAGGTGGCGTCTCTTCTCAACCCACGCGTTTTGTGTCGTCATGGCAGTTATACAAGGAAGACTGATCGCCTGCCGTCTAATCAGTCGCCGGATTTCTTCAGAGGGGTCACAACCACCCCACTTACTCGTCCCCCCTCCATCCTGTCAACCTCACCATATCCATGACTCCAACCCCTACCCCTCGCTACTTACCGTTGTACATGTATGCATACCCATCCAGGTGAAAACCGGCATCCGAGGGCAGCCCACCTTCAGAAACATGCTCACCAACCGGTAAATCCTCGCGGCGCTGGATCCCAGAGCCAACTCCTTGTCGTACGTGTCCGACAAGTTCGAGTGGTCGCACTGCGAGGCAGACGGTTTCGACTTCAACGACGCCTGGGATGATACCGAGCAGTCTCCCCCCGCCGCTCGGCCCTTTTCGCACCATCAGAAGGCCCATGGGCGCTTGGGGTTGTCTCTAGTCTATACTCAGACTTTCACGAGAAGATGGCTCAGCGCTTGAAGGGGGCATAGAGCTCGGCACCCTCTGCCTCGGGTCATTCCGGGCAACGCCGTACGTTGTGCGGGGCTCTTGGGCAACCTACCCGTTGTTACTTTCCAGCCCTCTTGTACGCCGCTGGAGAACCATTTAATTTGCGTTCGTTTTTGGGGCCCAATCGTTGAGACTGACAGGAAAGAATGGAATGCAATTTTTTTATGTAGACTCTCACGGTTCAGATTGACATTCAGATTTTACGGATGTGAAAGATTTGGCTACAATTTTGGAATCTACATGGCGGTAGCGAGATTTAAGGCCTAATTTTGTCGTACACGGGGTGATATCGTACATCACGATGCAAGACCCACAAAGGGCGTGTGACGTAACCGCGAGCCTGTGGCTGTTGCGGGGGGCAAGCCATAAGAAATGTCCATGTCGGGTCCAGGTGTTTGGCATGTTGAACATAGTCAACGCCCAACCTTGTTTGTTTCCCAGGCAAAAAGGAACTTGTGTTGCGCCCCAGGGGTTGGCTAGGAGACAACAAAACGCCTCATGATAATACAAGAAGGCGTTGGTGGGGAGGGGCATGCGTAAGTCGCGCCCAGACTTCACGTTTGACAATCGGCCCCTCGGGAAAGTTACGGAAGTGTGCTTGTCTAGAAAGAACCGGAGAGAGACGGAGGCAAGAGTATTTCAATGCCTTGGAAAGTTGAAGTTTGGCAGTCAGTCGTGCTTGGCACATGTCGGCGGTATATCGCCGCCACCGGTCGGCGTCAAGTCAAGTCAACGACCGCACGAAGAGCCGGCAATGGCCTCAAGACTAAAAAAGCAACAGCCTCCGCCCACCACCACTCTCTCGTGTCGAATGGGGACGTTGGGGACCGATAGGCCGCCACCATGTGCGGAGTGCTCGTACCTCTTACCCCGTCCGGCTGTATCGTATGGTGGAGAACGGCGAAAAAGCATCATGATAGCAACACATGTCGTCACGCGGTGTACATGTGGCATGTGCCATGGCATGTCCTGTCGCTGTCATACTATTGTCACGCCATGCCTCATGGTTCGTAGCCTCCGGGGTACAACAACCGTCGCACGTCAACCCCAACCACCACAACTGCACCGTGTAAACTCTGTCTTTGTTTTGCCAAAGACAGAGTAAGTAAAAAACAAGGAACATTTTTTCCTACTCACACACAGATAGATGATCTTCTGCGCCCTTTATCTTTGCGGATGACGTCACAGACGCGCGTGGCGTACATCGGAAGCGTTATCAACGAGTCCATTCTCGATCCTTGTGCCACTTTTTCTCTCCTGTCTTCTCTCTTCTCAGAAAACCATGAAAACCCTCTCAAACACTCTTATCTTCTTTTCCTCAAGAGAGCTATGTAAACCCCCTGAAAATTTTGTTCCGAGTATCATCACCTCGGAGTCTTTGTTCTCGCCGAATCAAATCGCACCGAAACTGAATTATTTCTCTCTCGCATCACCGGCTTCTCCGCGCACAGCACTTGACCCACCCAAAAAACGCATCAAAACACCTCCTTCACATGCTTCAAGCTTTAGCGGTCGCTTGCTGCTGCACACGGGAAACACGGGGACCAAAAGGTCTAAACACATAAGTGCGACAAACTCTAGCGATCGCGCCTACTCTACACAGCAGTGTCCAAGCAAACAAAGGCGGCGGCAACCGGCGCGGCGTCGTCGCATCAAATCCAAAAATAAAGCATTCTCTTGTTTCGCCCTCTCCTGGGCTTCAACCCGGCGCCGGCGTCGTCCCGCTCTTCATCTTGGCCGCCTTTGCCTTTTCCTGGGCCTTCTTCTTCAGGTCCAGGCTGGGGGGGGGGGGGGGCAGCGCCGCGCCCACGTGGGAACCTCCCTGCACCACAACGAACGCCTGCTTGGTGATCTCCTGGGTTTGCTGCAGCGTCCTGAAAAAACACCACAAGGAAGACAGGAAAACAAGCAAGCGTGGGAAGCACAGCGTCGAGTATTTAGTGTAAAGACGAGGGAGGGTGTGGTCAAGAACGGGTACGCATCGGCGCGCGCGGGGGGGGGGGCGGATCGTACTCTTGTGTGTTGCGTGCCTTAGCGGTTAGACCATTGACCACGCGTCCTCGAGAGGTACTCATCGGCGGGGAGGGGTAAACGCATGCCGTACTCGATAAACCATTGACCTCCCATCTCTACAATGCCGGGGGAGGACTCAAGATGAATCATGCATGCCGGAGTCTTCCGGCCATAAACGTCGTGTCATGTCCTTACAAACCCGGGACAGAGCACGTGAGGTTTCTGCCGACTTGGTTGGTAGTTCTTAACATCGTGTACGGAGGTGGACCTCTGTCAGGATAGGGGGCGGGGGCGGTTCATCCCTATAGCACATGCGTCCCTCCAGTCGGACAAGAGGGGAAAATGCAGTCAGTAGTAGCGTATGAAAGTACTCAAGAGAGATGATACCAAGAGCATAGCCACGTTATGGGTGGGAGCACACAGAAGTATCGACCTCCGACAACAACAGCATTCGCAGTAAGTCCACATCTATCTTCGGGAAAGGATAGCAAGACCATCACGGTTATGGATCCTTATCCTCCTCGCGTTGCTATTTTCGCGCAGCTTGGGTATTGCCCCTCATACCTCTCCATACGTTCAACCACAACAAATATTTCGACACCATCAACTTTCATGATAATCCACTCCCTCTACCCCCCAAAACGACGAAGAAAACAGGCTGTCCATCCAAGTAAAATGAAAAACAAGAGCCACCAGAATGGCGCACGTGCCATCCCGGCCGCTTTGAAACTCGGCAAATGAAAAAATAACACAACAAAAAACGCGGAAACGAACTTGAGTCTTTGTAGGTCCATGGCTCGCTCTTTCTTCTTCTCTTCCTCCACCATCTTGAGACGCTTCTCCTGCTTCTTCTTGCCCGAACCGTACCCGTGGAACTGTAAAGAAAAAAAAAAATAGAAAAAAAATGACGTGGAAGCAGTCATTGAATATACGGTACTCCTGGGACAATGCATGACAGAAGTTGAAGCGGTTGAAACCAGCGATGGGAACAAACGCGTAAAATACTTGTCACGAACCAAATTAGCCAGAACTAGAGGGAAAAAACAAGGACGACGAGGGCGGCGAAGACGGCACGCGTTTGATGAAAACTTGCCGCCCTGGCGATCTCGTTACACACGAGTCGCCTCCAACAACAACTACAGCAACAGCAGCAACATCAACAGCAGCAGCAATATCAACAACAGCAACAGCAGCAGCAACAGCAGCAGCAACAGCAGCAACAGCAGCAACAGCAGCAACAGCAACAGCAGCAGCAACAACAATAGCAGCAGCAACAACAACAACATCAGCAACATCAACAACAGCAGCAACATCAACAGCAGCAGCAACATCAACAACAGCAGCAACAGCAGCAACATCAACAGCAGCAGCAACATCAACAACAACAACAACAACACACACCTTGTAGCAGAGGTTGCGGAACGCTTCCTTTCTGGTGATCTCCCTCCCCCACTCGTCGCGGTATTCCAGCTTGGCGCCCGACTCTCGATCTTCGCGGGTCTCTTCCGCCTCCCCGTGGTGCTTTCTAGCGTCCTTCGCTCGCCCGGATCGGTGGAACTGGGAACGAACGTGGCCAAATACCCCACCAGAAAAAAAAAAATGTGGGTACGATTTAGACGAAGTGTATCGTCCCCTTATCCGGAGAGAGAGAGAGACAAACAATTACCAAGAACTAAAAAAAGTTGGAAATACATTTCCTGTGCAAAAGAGAGAGTGGAACGCCAGACTCGAACACTAGCAAAGTTGGGTTCACAACTCGTATAATATGAGACGCGGATATCCCCTTCATGAAGGGTACGATCTACCCAATGCCTGTCGAGGACGACTGATTATGCCCTACTACACAGAGAGGTAAGCAGTAAGTCGGGGAGAAATGTCTTGACCAAGAAGAAGTCTAACTGTGGGTGAAAAAGAAACAAGAGGCCGGAAGGGATACTACAGCAGTGCGTGCGACAACCGAGCCCATTCTCTCCATCTTTTCTTCGTTCTTTCTCCGCAGCTGCTGCCGTCACCTCTACATACCTTTTCATTGAGAACACCCGAAGGCCTCAGGAGGGCGAGGGTCGCGGCCATGCCGTTCTTCGCCAGGGGCTGCTTGTGCAAGAAACCCATCTGCGAAAAATAAAAAAGTCCAAATTGATGTCTTCCGGTGCAATTTACAATACTTCACTGCACCATCGGAAGAGCGGAGACGGCAGAAGACTTTTCCAAAACCTCGCTGACATATTGGGATAGGCAGCAGTGCCGCGTCTTACGCCTACGATTGTAGACAACGATAGCGTCCCAAATACACACGGTGAGCGTCATCACTGATAAGGTAGCTTTCGTTTCCCCGACTTGAAAGAAGTATAGTAGTTGCGCTCGAACCGATCCCGGCGGAAACGGGTCACCCGTACCATGTACCATACCATTTGAGTCTGGCGGCATGCACGCGAACATACAGGGATCGGTATCGCCGTGCTGCGTTTGCACACGCCCGGTACATACCGCAGCCACAGGCGGGAAGGACAACCGTGTGTTCTGCATGCTTGATGCGGGGCGTCGATACTGCCGCTCTCAACAAATCTACCTCTAATTTACCAGTCACGATTGCGCAAGGTTACCACACAGGGGCCAATCCCAAACGTGCGGAAAACATGTTGGTGTAGCACTTTGTGCCGCACGTTGCAGGCGTGTACTCTCGCATCGTCTATGGCATCGTGCCGGGACAAGTGCCCACTACCCGCAACATGACAATCATGGTCTCTCCAAATGAAAAAATCGCGACACACCCACAATTCCCTTGATTGCCCACTTTTTATTTTGCCTCTCGAGGAAAAGAAACTGTCGCGGTTATTTTGCACCTGTTCGTCGTCATCGCTGTCTTCTTCCGCTCCTTCCAACATTGCCTCTATTTCGTCTACATCTGGCTCTTCCTCCTCGTCGTCCCCGTTCTCCTTCTTCGTCGTCCATCTGCAAAAAATGAAAAATAAAAAAAAAGTGGAAAATACGAAGCAACGACAGAATCAAAACATGGCAGGAAAAAAACGTGGTATAAGATGAACACATTACTGTTGTGTACCATATGACGCTGTTGTGCTTGTCATCTTGCTGTACCTCTGGTTGTCCACGTATCCCTGTTCACCACG